CTTATGAAGGTGGAGAGATGGTATTTGAATGAAAAGAAGGAGAGGTCATTTTAAAAAAATCAAGGTGAGGAATAAGTATCTTCATCAACTTTATTCCTCAGACTCTTACTTTGATTCATTTCTCTTGGGTGGTGGCGTTCATGCCACTGCACATCTACTGCTGTAGCTGTTCTGATTAAGACACCTTTCAAAGCTCAAAACAGTTATTTAGTGTTTAGTCAATGAGTTAAATGAAAATGCTTCAGACAGTGAAGGAGAGATGATCCTGAAGAGTTAGAGATATCACTGTAAGAGAACCTATGTTTACTTGTATTTATTTATATCTTTGTATGTGTGTAACAATTTTAAATGTGTGTGTATTTATATATATTTTAGAGAAGGGCAGCTAGTATATATCAATGTATATCAACAGATGCCAATTTTGTAGGAATACATAAGTTTATGCTAGAGGAAGGAAGCTTCTCATAATTATCAATATATGGGCCAATTAGAATTTATAACTCCAGTAATTTGAGCAGGTATGGGGTCAAAGATTTTCCTGTGGGATTCAGGATCTTTCTCTCCTGGAAATTTGCTTATAAATACTGGCATTTGATGATATCAGTCCATTAAAAAACCCCAAACAATAAGGTCTTCAGATATACTTTTATACCCATAGGACTTACAAGTGTTTTGTACTGAAAAGATTCAGGAGTGTCCAAAGAAAATTGTTTCACCCTAAATCAAGGACACCATCCATTCTGATGGATAAATTTTTACAAGGGACCTGTGGGAGCTCTTCTAGATCCCCCTCCAGCATATCAATTACATTAAGTAACTGATCTTGCTTAGTATAGGGGTATCAGTGCTTTTTTCATGTAATTTGTCAGGATGAAGTTCACAGCTGTTAAGGATATATCTTGCAAGATCAGGCCCTCTACTAGTGCTGGAGGAGTCATGGAAATCAGAAAGAAATTAATTTGCTACTTAGGTTATTTCTACCTGGAGTGGAGTAGAGGCTGTCTCTCTCATTTTACAGGACTTGGAAGCACAGTTGTGCCTAGTACTTGTCTCAGAAGTCCCATTTATGAGTAATTCCTTTTTACTGATCAGGCAGTCTGGCATGTACAAGTGCTTTGTGTCTATCCACCCACACTTTGTCCTTTCTGTCTCCATCTGAAATACTCCACTCTGGGGCTCAGTAATACAAAATTGATGAACAAATAATATGCTACAAGTGGAAAAATATACCACTGAGTAAATGAGTTGGTTGCTGCTGCTTTCCAAATGCCTGAGCTTTAGCTAGAGCAACTCATAAAACCAGAGATTTTCGGTTTGTTTCAACGTTTCCCAGCTCTTTACGTTAAACTCTATTCAAGATAAAGCACTGGTGTGGTAAAACCCTTTTATTCCACTGAAGGAGAAAAATGGGAAAGGTATTACCAGTATATTATTAAAAGTAGAAACACACCTGTCTTTTTCTGTAACTGTTGAGTTTTCACCATGTGCATAGTACTGCTAATCAAAAAATATATTTGTACATTTTTTGAAGGTTTAAAATATACTTTTAATTTTCCTGGCAATTATGAAAGATTGAAAGATCCCATGGCACTAGATAGATTCTGACTATGAACTCAGAAGGTTTCTCTGTGCCTAAGGTGCATGGCACTTGCCTTTAGATTGGATGCAGGGACCTAGAGTATCAAACAGGAAAAAATGTGGCTGCTATTGTCAATAGTGGTTATTACAGTGTGGTTATACTGCCTAGCTTGGGTGTACTAAGTTGTCTTTTGCTGTCATCAGTGATATTAAAAACACATTTGCTGCCCTATATTCTTTTTTCTCTCAGTATCCTGGTGCTGTATGTATAGAAGATTGTGTTTTAATGGCAGAAGAAGAAGGAGGTCCTCCAAGTTCAGGATAGGCTTTGCTATGTGTTAGGTTGACGTGGTGAAAGCCACGGGCTTTTTTGAGCTCAATAGTTTGCTGAAGTCTCTAATGTAATTAGAAATGGAAATGTGTGTGTAAAAAGGAGGTCTCTGAGGTGACCAGGGGAGGCATATTTTGGTACAGTGAAAACACTGGACAATTCCAAGACTAAATAAGAAAGACAAGTGTTAAGAAAGTCAGTGAGGAACAGGTTACTTCAATGAAAATGGATAACAGGTCTGGATGAGAGATATCAGAGAGAGTTAATTTATAATCTGGGTGATATAGAGTATTCTGCATATTATGTTACTGAAAACAGCTTCCCAAATGATTCTGGAGAGTTCCTGCCCTGCCATCTCCTTCCTCTCCCTACTCGTTATCTCTTCTCAAGTAATGCTGCTTTCTTAGCTGTTTTCTTAGACCTCTTCCTTTCACAATATTCCAGTATTCCCTAACTTCATTTGTACCTTTTTTAATTAATTAGGACCAGTGTCCTAAGGCACTGTGAACACCCAGTAAAAAAAAATAAAATCTTGATTTCTTGTTTATGGAATACTTCTTTCTGGAGCATAAATGAGGTCAAAAGAAATTTTCCATGGGTTGAAATTCTGCTTTCAGTATACCTGTACAGTCTGGTGATTACAGCTGCTTTTCACTTGGTGCTCTGAAAAGAGAATTTGTCCCTGTAATTTCAAAGCTGAGAAGAGTAGAATTAAGACTTTGCCTAATTAGTGCCACCTTTTAAAGGTCTATTTTAAGATGTCTTCCTTTAGCCTGAATCATGTGATAGTTTCCAAAAATGTAATTTAATCATATCTGATTGCTTGCTGGAATCTGCAATTAACTTAGGTGCAAGGGAATTAACAGTATATGCCAGGTGCTGCATAATTTACCAGGAGCTGCTTGTGCCACATATATGTAAAGTGTGTTGCTGTTTAAAATTATTGGCCAGAATATTTTAAGCTTATGAGTGAGTAATTTTTATTACTTCCTTTCATTTCTGTCCCTAGGATGACTCAGATATGAAATACCATGTAATTATATTCTGTATACTATCAAACTATCCCTTGCAATTATGCCACATTGTAATTGTTCTTCTGAAAGATTCGAAGCTACCTACCTAGAAAAGTTATTTTGAGATGCAATTGGTTGCTAGGGTGAAGATTAATTTTCAAGGAATTCTAGATATATATTGAATAAAAAGCTTAAACAAACTCATTGAAAAAAGTAGTTCCCATCTCAGAAGACCTCTGAAATCCATTCCCATTGAAAAGGGTAGAAAGGGTTTTAGAAAATATCTTATTCTGTTAGGACTACATTTTTGTCCTTTTTGAGAGTCAGTTCTTGCATCAGTTGCACAGTCAAAAATGGCAAGAGAATGAAAAAATTGGCCAACTGCCTGCAGGAAAATTTTTTACTCGGTATTTGTAATGCTCTTCTGAGATCCAGATTAGTACCCTAATCCTTCTCTCAAGCACTCTTGCATTATAAATTTCAGAACTTTGAGACAATGTCAGGGTCTCTCACATAGGCTTTGTACTTCATTTAATTCTACAGTTTCATGAAGGTAGAATTTCAGACAGAATTAAGCCTCAGCTTAGGTCTTGGTTCAGGATTGATAGCTGTTACAAGTTTTCATATCTCACCATCTGGAAGATGGTTTTTTACTGTGTGGCATTGCTCTTCTCTGTCAAAGTTCAAAATGTGCACAGTCACTAGTATCTGAAATTCCCTGGAAAATTTTTGTGAAAATAAATTGTGAAAATATTTTAACTGGAATACTTGCTTAATCTAAACAGAGCAGCAACTCTGAGATTTAAAAGTTCGTAGCTACTCTGTGATGGCCAGGAGGTTATCAGAAACTGTGGCTTCAGACCACCATTGAGTTGGAAGATATCACAATAAACCCAGCACAAAAGATAAAATGACTCTTGCCTCGTGATTTCATCAGACACTCAAGATTATGCAACTTTCATTTCCCAAGTACAAAGCACCAAGTGTATGCCAACAGCATAACAACGTGGGGATCTGCAGAGACTTCTGCATACCTCCTATTACCTGTTATTTATGTTGAAATCAGGAAGAAAATTGCTCAGTTTCATGCTTTTGAGTCCATTTACAGCCTTTCTTTACTGTTTATAGAACTGATGAATACTGTCTTTCATTGAAAAGACTGTGCAGATCTTACATTTCCCAAGGAATAATGCATTCCCATAAAGCTGTCACAGACTCCAAAAAAATGAAAGATAAGAGGAAAGCAGCACAAACTCAACAGATTTGACAGTTTATCATTGTCTGAATCAACCGCAATTGATGTAACCATATCAGAGACTTGCAGGTGTTTAGATTTTAAGATGACATTTGAGACTGTAAAAGTAGTATTTGCAGCAACAGCCTTGATAAATATAATCCTGTCTGAAGCTCTGTGTGTTCCCCATATGCTGGTACTTTAGAAGAGCAGAAAAGGTTCATTTATAACCACATACAGAGAAGTTAACAAAAGTCACTAAAAGCTTTTTTTTGAGGCTGTGAGCTGCCAAAACCAGCTAATGCCTTTAGCCAAACTGGACTGCCAAGTGATTTGCACAAAGTGTGTGTGGAGCTCCAGAAAGGCCAATCTAGAGAATCAGATTTAAGTATTTTGTGGATGTGTTGTTTGGGGTTTTTTCCTAGTAAAATCTACACACTCACAATTGTCTATGGGAACTAGTTTCCCCTCCAGTTTACAGCTGGAAAAGCCTGAGCCTGACTTTTGAAGTGACCCTGAAGACTAAAAAACAAGATACTGTACAGCCAATTGGCACTTCCTTGTGTCTACATCTACATTTAGTTACTTGACATACTACTACTCTGCTTATGGAGAAACCAGAAGAATAATCATTTCTACATTTGTCCCTAAGTTTCTTCCCCTTCTGCTACCTTCTACCTGGTTTTGCCTTCCCACTTTACCTTTTTCTGTTCTCCTATTTTCCCTCTTTCAGATCTCTATAGAGTTGTATGTTGTTTTCTTTGTTCTTTTTCATTTCATCACCTTGTGTATGTCTTGTTATTATTGCTAAATCACTAAAATAGGCTTCTTCCTTGTCTTGCAGAGTCAGACTGTTCGGAGACATTGCCTGCGATGAGTGATTTTCAGAAACAGTGACTTGGTGGAGTCATGGAACAATCAATGAAGGTTAACTGTGCAAAGGTAATTAGAAATCTCTGTACTATTTTATGGCCATGAAAGCCACGTTTCTGCCGAGGACGGTCTTGTTAAGAAGGTGCCAAGCCTCAAGGAGACAGCTGAGTAGTACAGGTCATGCATTAGTAGACTCCAAGCAGAATGTAGTGGATCACAAAACCAGATAACAGCAAACAACCTTCTTGAAATAGAACTGGAAGGCAGTGATCCTTCACGGCGTGCGAAATATTAGAGAAATGATCTTGCAGTGATGATTCAATAAATCCTTTTAGATTTGAAGATCTCAAAGCTGATGTTTGTATATACATAGGGAAAAACTCACTTGTGGCAGTTTGCAGAAGCTTCTGTGAGCCAGTAAAAAAAAAAAAAAAAAAAAAAAAAAAAAAAACAAACAAAAAAAAAAACACCAGTTGATTTACCAAGAGAAGCAAACACCACTCAGTATATCACAAAAAAAATTATATGCTATGCACAGTGAAAATGTTGTATGTTGGGGTTTTTTTCTTCATTGTTTTTTGTTGGGCTTTTTTTTTAATACTTTTTTTAAGAATTTGAATTCAATTGGGTTTGCAGAAGTGTCTATTCAGAACTCTGCCCGATATTTTGCTTAGCCAGTGCAATAAGGATGAGCACCAGCATTGTTAGAACTCTGCAGGTGGTTGAATATACTTGGAAACATACATTTCACTGAGAACTTCAAATTCTGATTTTCCTGTGAATTGTCACAAATAGGGATCAGGTACCTTTCTGTGCTGATACGGGGTTTTCAGCGTGTCTCAGAAATTTCATTGCCATTTATTGCTTGAGCTGAGTCTGAAGAGACTTATCACCATTCTTTAATCTTTTTGCAGGTTTTCAAAAAAGCTCTTAATATACTGCTTCTTGTTAAAAATTGTCAGCACCATTGGCAAGCACTAAAGATGAACATGAAGGAGTTGTGCTTTTCTGGATGTGATTAATTTTGGCACAGTACTTGTTCCCATGGCTGAGCCCTGTGTGCTCTGCTGTTCTTGTCAGGTTCATTATGTGTGTTTTCTCTTTCCAAGGTATTATGTCTTCACTGTGAAACATTCACTCAGGCTCAGATTTGGCAATCAGAGTCTGAATCTTGCAGCATGCTGGCTTCCAAGAAAAAATAATTTGTTCCCTTGGAGGGAGGGAAGGGATTTGGATTTTAAAATGCTTCATTGTATTTTATAACACAGAACTCTCTTTGCATTTCTGTATATAACATTTTGTAAGCAGTTGCTTAGAAGTGACCTTGATGATCATTAAGTAAATTATAACATATTATGTGAAATTTCAAGTTCTGTTCATAAATGTTAAATTCTAAGAAAGTAATAATAGCTCAGACATTAAGATGCTCTTAATGTGACTGTTTACGATGTTTTCTTTTCCAGCTAAGAGCAGTATATAACGAGTGACTTTTTTAAGCATGTTTTCCCCTTTTAGGAAGTTAGCCTTGAAACTGTAACATGGCTCAGGAAACTGAGTAAAACACAGGTATTGTATGTAATTTCCTAACATGTCTGTAAAAGACGTAAAAGGAAACAGAAGTGGTTTAAAGCTAAACTAGATGGTGTTCATACAGACAGAAATTCCTATATGGGATTAAACTGAATATTCAGCTAGTTCATTCTTCTAACAGAGGCTACATAGAAAAAAAAATCAAAGAATCTTACATTATTTTATTTCTCATCTCAATTTGCTAAGAAAGCACAGAGTTTGCCATAATATGACACAAATATGAAGAGGTACTAGCATTCAATACTGTGCTAAAAGTCGGTCTCCAGTCAGATCTTCTTATGGAGTGGACAACATAAATAGCTTCTAAACATCAATAGATTTTTATTGCCAGGGCAAAAAAATATATAGGCCTAAAAACATTGAATGATCACTGATAACTCGTTAGAGAAGTGCTTATATTTGCATTGCAACGTAAGCAAGTAATCTATTTCAACCTCTGTAATGCTTTAAGATAAATAGATGTTTATCTGCAAAAGCAAAATCTTCATGGCCAGGGCAGATCTGTGGTAAAGTAGGACTAGATTAGTAGTGAACTTGGAGGCTATAGGGATGTATAGCAATGGCTACTCATGGCTTCAGTATGCCAATCTACACTTCTTTTTATTTTAGGCATAAGTTGTTTTGCTTTACATAATACTGATGGTCTGGGAAATTTTGCCTTCACAAAGGACCTTTAAATTATAATAATGAATAGTTGGGTGTGGGTTTGTGACATTTCACTAAACAAAAAATTCCTCCTTAAAAACATATTTGTGGGAGGACTTCATATTTTGTTGACTCCAGCAAACTTTTGATTTAACACAGATGAAGGATATCAAGGAAATGGTTCAGGAGTCTGAAATTCTGCTTACTCCCAGATTAGCTCAGGGAGATTGAAACAGTAATGCCCTCTCAGTTTCATTCTTGTCATAAAAATTAGGACTTGGGAACAGCTATCTATTTTTGTCCACAATATTTGCTGCTCTGAAGCTGCCAGTTTAGATGCCTGTTGTAGGGTGAATGATCATTGCTGTTGGGCCTGAGGTGAAACCAGTTTCACAGAAAACAGAAAGATGAGTATATTTTTATAACAGAATCATTTTGAAATTAAAGTAATTCTTCTGTTTCTTGAACTATAATTTTATCTACTGGTGAATAAGGAGTTGCATATTGCAGTAATTCTTATTTCAATCAAATCTGTGTAAATGATGATACAGACTTCAAGCCAGCAGGATTTTTATTTTAACAAGTCAGTAATTATTATTTGATGATGATATTAATCAGTATGATAAATTTCTGAACTTTGTTATTCCAGTTAAATACAATCTTCTGAAAGTTAAGAGTTTGAGTTACTCAGTTATTTGAAGCCATTGGAATGCAGCTTTCAGCCAATATGTTTGTAATACAGCTATTGGTTAAGTCTCCCTCATCTTTTTTGCTCATGAGATAACGTGGCTGATAACCTTTATACAGTTCAGGGACTTACTTCATTGCATTCTAATAGAGTTTCTGGAGAGTATAGATTTAGATTACAATGTTGAATGGCCATAGGGCCTCAGGGAAATATGTTCTCATTAATGGACTTGTTAATGATAATCATTGAAGAGACTCTAATAGTATCAGATGTAAATGTTGTCACAGCTGTCCATCTTTATCATGCAGATATGGAGATGCATCATTAATTCACACAGACTGATTCTCAGAGCTGTGCACATTGATGCAGTATGATAATGTCTGAAGGAAATTAAGAGCTGTGCATTATCAATTTAATATTTCAGATTTTCGAATTATACAGTCTAAGAGATAAGAGGAATTGAACCGCAACAGTACTATGGGTCACTCAGAAGAGATCAAATTCAGACTATGCCTCTGTCAGTTCCAGCTTCATTATGCTCCTTTGAAAGGGATAAGACAATGAAAACTTATATCAGTGAAGTCCCTCAGCTGCAAAGTTAAAAACATATATGCTATACAAGTACAAAAAAAAAAATATGGCAATATAAAATAGTTTACAGAATCTAGAATAATTTTTTAAAAATTTACTTGTAGCTACTTACTTTTATTAAAGTATAATAGTGTCTTATTCCTTTGTCTTGACTTTAAAGGATTTATTCATAATGCATTGAGTACAATAAATCAGAATCTGTCTCAAATTTTTAGCTTTAGATGCTCTACATTAATAGCATGTTTATTAATTTTTTGCCAAAATTTTGTGAGAATTTGATTATGAATATTTGACTTTGTGTTTTGAGGGCAGTGAGGTTGAGGTTTTTTTGGTAGGAAACATACCAGATTATTTCTTTGTAACCATCTGAAATATCAGTGTTTTTAGAACAAATAAGAAATGCAATTTTTTTTTTATGCAAGGATACAGGTAAGCTTTTAGAATTAGTAGGGTACTTATAACTATATTGTCACTTGTGTTGGAAATAGTAAACAGGTAGCTGCTAAGATAAAATCAAAGAGTAGCCTTTCAGTGACATGTTCTGATATCAGACTGTGTCCTACTGGATGGGTCTCCCTAAATGAGAGGGAGAGGACAGTAAAAGAGCATATTTTACAAATGATGATGGTGGTAAGTTGTACTAAAAGGAGGACAAAACATGAGTAGATAGCAGTGTCACTTGTGCTGAATTGTAACCAGTTGTGAAGTCATGAATGACAGAATTCAATTCCAAACTCACCAAGGACAAATGTATGGGATTCAAAAGAATTTACCTCTGAAAAGTTAAATGGCATATCCCTAATGAAAGATAAACAAAGTTAACACAGTGTGGAGGTATTATTTTAGATCAGTGAAGAATCAACAAAACCCTGAACTAAGCATGTACATCAAACTAGGGAGTAATTAATGTCAGACAGGTCTACATTATTCTTGCTGCAATACACTGTACTCTTTTTTGAATTCCCAAGACTGAAAAGTAATGCTTGCTTGCTTCCTCTCAGCTCTTTGGGCATTGTCTTTTGTAGAGGGGCTGCCAAGCCTTGCAGATATTTGACAATGTGGGGTGTGTATTGTAATGTCTGTAACAATTACCTGGCTTGCTGTGAAATTTTAGAGAAGTAAACCATTAGCATTTTTTGTGCCATGTTACCTCTACTTTTCACAAAGGTAGTTCTGCCTCTCTTCCAGACTGATTCGATGTGTTTTTTATGTTGCAATCTCTGCAAAATATAAAATTTACCACCTATTCATCTCAGTCTCTCTGTAACGCTTGTAACCTGCTTTTTATTTCCCTGTAGGAAGTCCTCTTCTATCTCCATTGTAAGGTTCTAATTTTAATAATCCTAGCCCTTCCAGAGCTCTTTCCCCAAAGAAATATTTCACTGTACACACCACTTAGTGTGTTGATATTTCTTGTTAGTATGCAGCGTCGGGTTAGCTCCTCTAGATAACCTTGATAAATTAAAAATTGGCTTATCAATATTCAATCAACCTAGCTCATTTACCCAAATGTCTGATTTCCTTTTTGTCAGAGCTGAGCTAAAAAGG